TGTCGTGTGTGTGGTGTGTGGCTGCGTGTAGTGCCGTTTGTCGTGTTCGTGTTCGCGTTTGGTTGTGTGAAGCTGTTGTGTGTGTGTCGTTGTTGCGTGTGCCCTTACTTTTAGAGCCTACTAGGCCAAGACAGCGCCGCACTTGTATATTATCGTCTAAAATTTCTTTTATTTACATATCGGAGCTTTTTTCGATTACTACAATATATAACGCGTAACGATCGATGTCGGGGTAACTCGTTCACACGTGCTCATGGACTCGACATCAATGAACACATCTATCTACACACACAGCTGCTGCTATACATTAACATATCTGCACTCTACTGCTACTTTTGAACATAACTGTACTTTACTCGCATATAGGGTTATACAGAGGTAAGGTACACGCTGAAGGTTTTCGTAAACGGTAGCACTTCCATTAACGTCCGTGTGCACTTATCGCTAGACTATCGATGCCCTCCATTTGAGTGGTATTACTTATTCAGTACTTTGAGTGGGACGCATGTTAGCTGCAGTAATATCGCTGCAATGAAAGTGGCGAAATAAGTGTTTTGTATGCAATTGCATGATTTTACAGAGCTATAAGCGCAAATTAGAAGGAACATACTGACAACAAAATGAAGTATTCTCTGTAGTAGTGGGGCAGCATTCCTCTTTCTTCACACACGCATATATACACACGCACACACCGCCCAGCAGACAACACAACCACACACATCCAAACACACACACACACACACACACACACACAACACACACACACACACACACACAACACACAACATCACACACAACAACTACACATCAACACACACCCACAGAACATTCTCCTCTGGACAACATATACACGAACACACACCAATCACTACACACACACACAATCAACAACACCAACACACAAACAAACACGCACGCACATGCGCACACTACACCACCACCACACAACACACACACCACCACCACACACACACACACACCACAACACACACACACTACACACAACACTCAACACACTACCACGCTCTCTCTTAATCTTCTCTCTCTCCTCTCCTCTCTCGCGCAAGCCAAGGCACACATCGACGCATATTTTTATAGTTTAATTCATTAACAATTTTTTTAAATTTAAAAGACTTATTCCACTTCGTTTTCAATTTTTTGATATTCCAAAATAATCCTCAGCATTTCTGGTGTGAGTTCCTCTGAATGTCAGCCAGAGAACATTTTTATTCTTTTTATACTTTTTTTTTTGCCTGGTTGTTGTAGCATATGACTCCTTCCATACATACATATGCATAGCATGATCGATAATTTTTATTTTTGCTTATTATATATTTTAAAATAATCGCCATTTTTTTCTTATTTTCTGCATCTTTCACACACACACACACACACACACACACAACAACACACCCACACACACACACACCACATACACACCACATACCCACCACATACACACGCACACGCACGCACGCACGCACACACACGCACACACGCGCGCACGCACGCACGCACACCCGCACACACACATGCCTGCTATACTGCATGATTCGCTCATAGAAAGATAGCACGGGGGAGTGAGCGCGTAACCGAATCTTTCCAAATATCTCGATTTATGTAGAGGACGCGTGTAATTTCTTGCTGGTTGTCTACGGCAGGCTTTCAGACTATCCCTGCATATATGTGGGTGCATGCGTATTATCGCCATTCCACTATCATTTGCCAAGGTGTGGTTATCATTTTCACAAATTTTTATGTATCATCTTTACCTAAGAATTGTACAGAGAGTTATAGCTTTCGAGATTCCATTAAAATTCGCAAAAAAAGGAAAAGAATTGTCCGGGTTGGGCGGTCCTATGTGAAGTCAGACGTGTTTATTTCCGGGAGACTTATTAGTATACACTATTAACTATTAGTATACACTATTAACTTTCCGATTACATGAGAACGAGCGTAGTTATAGTTACTAATAGAATACCTGTAATGCAGAAATGATTTGATGTCGTTTGTTCAATGTTTGCAGATGGGCTCCACGCATCTATACCGCTAGCAAGATGGAAAGCTCCCACACCGCCCTTACTAGCCCATTACTAGATTAACTAAGGCTGCGCCACCTACAGCCAAGTCTGCACCATCTCCAGCTAAGTGTGCACCACCACCAGCTAAGTGTGACCACCCACAGCTAACCAAGTCTGCGCCATAACCAACTGAGTCTGCACCACCCCCAGCTAAGTCTGCATCATCACCAGTCAATGCTGCACCACCCACAGCTAAGGCTGCACCACCCGCAGCTAAGGCTGCACCACCACCAGTCAAGGCTGCACCACCCACAGCTAAGGCTGCACCACCCACAGCTAAGGTTGCACCACCCACAGCTAAGTCTGCACCATCACCAGTCAAGGCTGCACCACCACCAGCCAAGCCTGCACCAACAACCTCATAAAATCTTCCGGTCAAAAACTCGCTAACGGCTACCATGGGTAACACTCAAGCAGCCAACACCTCGGATACTCCAGACGTCAACGACGAATTACTCGAAGCCGCTGGCTCGGGCGACATCGACCGAGGCATCGCTGCGCTCGCCCACGGCGCGTCTACAGAAGCGAACGACGAGTACGGCAGAACGGCGCTGATACGAGCGGCAAGGAGCGGCCACTCCGACACCGTCACCACGCTACTCATCGCCGGCGCCGATCTAGAAGCGAGCGGCAGAAACAACTGGACGTCGCTAACGTACGCCGCACGCGGCGGTCACGGCGAGACGCTAGCGGCGTTGCTAGCCGCCGGAGCGCGTCTGGAAGCGGTGGACAACGCCGGCGCGACGGCGCTCATGTACGCGGCGTTCGCCGGACACGCCGACGTCGTCCGGGAGCTGCTGGCGGCCGGAGCGCGGCTGGAGGCGAGGGACAGCGCTGGCAGTACGGCGCTGATGTACGCGGCGAACGGCGGGAGCGCGGACGCCGTTACGCTGCTGCTGAGCGCCGGAGCCAACGCCGAAGCGGTCGAGAACGAAGGCAGGACGGCGCTGATGCACGCCGCTGGTTGCGCTCACGGAGACACCGTCGCCGCGCTGGTGGCGGCCGGCGCCGACATCGAGGCGATGGACAACGACGGCGGTACGGTGCTACTGCACGCGACCTTTGCGGGTTGCCCGGACGTAGTCGGTGCGTTGTTGAGAGCCGGAGCGGGGCACCAGCCGGGCGAGGCACGTCGAGCCTACAGCATCGCCACCTGCGCTGCCCGCAGACTCACGCACAACGACAGATACAGGACGACGGCGGGCGATTTGCTGGCGCACATGCACTTCCGTCCGTTGGCCGACGATTGTTTTTGCGACGTGGAAACTGTGTCGACGTTGTCGACGCGCGACGATGTAATTAGTGTGACGTCATCTGAGCAGGTTAGCAGCGTGCGCTCGCTCGCGGATGTGTGGGAGCTGGAAGGTGTCGGCAGGTTGAAGTATCCCGCTGTATGCACACAGATACGGTTCGCTGTGCTTGGGTTAATAGAGCGAGTGTGCGAGGAGATTTCTGCGACAGCTCCAGATTTCGCCTGCAAGCCCGTGCTTGTCGGTAGCACGGCTAACCATACCCAAGCTGGGTTGCCAGACGGGTACGACTTTATGTTTGAATTAGAAAAACTTACGGGTAAGGTATCGATCGAAGAAACAGTGAAAGCCGGTGTAGTTACAGTTAATGATGGTAGTCGTTCTCTCTCAGTCGATCTCAATGAGCAATTCGTTAATGTCTTGTGCCCAGCTTTAGCCAAGGTAATGAAAAGTGCCGCTTTGAATTTATTAAAATTCTCTAGGACATCACGTGTAGTGAAATGGAATAAAGTTTGTACGCAGTTTAATTTCGTATATGTCGCAGGCAAAGCGTACAATAACCTTCCATTATCCGTAGATATCACGCCATCTATCCATGTGTCGGGCAAACCAGCGGGTGCGACTGACCGATTCCCTGCTGACTACCATTACCACGTAGTCCCGAAACACGTAGTGGGCTCCGACGAATACTGGTTAATATGTAGTGCGAAGGCCGAGAGTTTGCTTATTACTGAGTTTCCTCCAGTCTTTCGACAAGCTCTCGTTGTAGCAAAAGCTTTACTATATCCGCGCATTCTCGTTTCCGATGACAATATACAACGTGTGTTAAATGGTGAGCCTGTAATGAAAGGTGAAAACGCATGTCTATCTGTGTTGCGTAAATCTAACATCGATATCATTCGACTGTTTATTGCAACTCGGTATAAACCTAAGATTCTGATCGACTCGCATATTTTGAAGTTATCTCTGCTTCATGTGCAATCCACAATGTCACCCGATGACTCATCATCACCTGAAAAACTGTCTGAAATAGTTCGTCAACTATTCATGTTCATAGAAGCATGTCAAACTAAAGGGGAATTGAAACATCCACTCATTCCCTCTATTGATGTTTTCGCAGAAGATAAAGGTAAGCTCATCGAACACGTGCCAGCGGGATATTTGAGAATGAAAGCTGTGAAAGCGGTACTAGCCCGTCTAGAAGACGGTCCGCTGGTAAGTAACAGCGGACTGCTGCAGCTTAGTGCTGAGGAGGTGTGGCAGCAGATGCAACATTCGGTCATGTCGGAGTTACCTGACGAGGCTGAGAATATTCGTGTTTCGTTTACACAGGTCTGGAATCTATTGTGTGATATATATGATAAGACGGAGCAAGTGTCTGATGGTAAAACCCAGTAGGTATCTATTAATGGTAAATGTGCGTCACCGCATGTATTTAGTTGCTACTTGATATGTGCTTTATGGAGCGAGATGTTACGGCATATATACGTGGAAATCTCGATATATTAGGTTGAAAAATCGTGAGCTTTATAGAATATAATAAATTAATATTATCGATATTAGAATGATAATATAGATATTATAGAGCTATGAGAAAGATTTGACTAATCAAAAGTATAAATTAATGCAGCCGTACAGGAGCGATAACGGTGGTAGTGGTAGTGTAGTAGTAGTAGTAGTAGTAGTAGGCTTAGTAGTAGTAGTAGTAGTAGTAGTAGTAGTAGTAACGGCAGCGGAAACAAGTAGTAGTATACTAGTATACGATGTTCATGATATCACTATTGAGCCTAATTAATATGTAAATAATTGTTATCGTATAATAACTCTGACTGATAATATAACTGATTCTCTACGCGTGGATGCCATCGTGTTGTTCCATTTCGTCAGTATTACATATTTTGAAACACATTTTGTAATGCCCCAAATAAATTTGTGTGTGGAAGCTGTTATTCTTACAAATATATGTACTTCTTACAAATATATGTATTGTTATTCTTAAAAATTTATACAAACATATGTAGGCCCCTATTTGGTTTATCGCATGCAATCTGTCACACGGTGGCGCTGGGTGTTCCTGCCGGAAGTGCGCGTACGCGCGTGCATTGGTAACGCACTGATCTCAATATATGTACCAAGATATAGTATGTAGTTAGTATAATTATAAGTTATTTTATAGAGATCAGTGGGTGAATGTCATTTCTACTCGTAGTTCTAGATTCTCCCACTACTTCCGGCTAGTAGCGGTAGAAGGTAGAAATGACGTTTACAGTTATACGATACATTACGAATTACAATATTAAATTAGAAAAATGAAACGTAAAAGAATTTATCACGCCAATTTGGATTCGAACCTGCCATCTCTCTGCCTTTACCAACTCTTTATGACGTCCACGACGCTATCCACTAAAGCTATTTAAGCAATCGCGCGGGAATCGCGCACAGTGGGGAAATTTCACTTGCGCTATCGCCTAGGGGATAGCGTCGTGGACGTCATAGGGGGGATTGGTAAAGGCAAAGAGATGGCAGGTTCAAATCTCAGTGGGGTGATATATTATTTTTCGTTATATTTTTTTCATTCAATATTGTAATTCCTAATGTCCTTAATGTCATTGTGTTTGTATATATCTATGTTAAACAGCTAAGAAGAAAAGTAGAATGGAGCAGTGAAACACCGAATTGACATTATAAAACTATTAATTGCAATGTAAAAATAAGAAAAAGAGTCCTCTAAATAACTACTTTTAAATGTTCTACATACACAGCAACACTGTAGTCAGTTTATTTTTCGGTTTATTTCTATTTATTGGAATATTTTTTACAAACGCCACTAAAATTCTGCACGCGCAGAAGAAACAGAGGCTGAAAGCTCAGCATCGGTTAGTGATGCTACGTAGTGAGAAAATATAGAACTACGAGGACATTTGCCATATTGCATTGGTAACACCACTGAGCTATAATTATATAATAACATCATGTTACAGCTCAGTTGTTATATACAGCTCAGTGATTGGATATATCATTTTGTGCAATTTTGGGTTGTGTATCCATGCAGTGATGGAATTTGTATACATAGGTGGTTTATCCATTCATTTTGTTGACACAATTCAAAATAACGCCTCCTTTAAAAATTTCCGCATTAAAAATACACTCGGTCCATTTATTAGAAATCAATGAGAGTTCAAGATGAAGTTGCAAGTAGTATTTATTTTTACACATCAACCAACTAAGAAGGCGTAAAAGAGATTTTATACTATAGCGTTACACACGACAGTTGTACCGGGCGAACGTTATTATAAGAGGGTTACGTAACAACAAAACAACAAAAATGTAAACTGTTGTTTTTGCACAGCGGCGTGCGTGCGATGAAATTGTATGTTGCAGAGGAGCACTTGAACGGCGTTTACAGGAAATTATTAGTAATGATAGACGAATGAGAGTAGAAAAACATTAAGATTTTGGTAGTAAATACGTTGCATGATTATTTACCATCATTTTATTATTGAACGTTTCAAGTGCCCGTAGTAGGCCTATACCATAGATATTGGCTATATACACAGGTACCGGTATATAATGATATCTATATGAGCTATACCACGATGTGGAGGAGCAGAAAGGGGAGATGGTGGAGTGAAGAAACATTTGCACGGAATAAAAAAAATACTTGAACGGAGATAAAATGTTTTGACAATCTTTTGCTAATACACAGTTGCTAATACGAAGTGTAACCAGTCTTATACAGACTATATGCTAACTCAGTATATTTAGTAAATATTATATGCTATTATATATGCGATTATAATGCTATTATAATGCTATTATAATGCTATTATATATGCTATATCGTATCAGGAGTTAATGAGACAAATTGTCTCAATTGCTCAAATTGTCTCAAAATTGTCTCAAATTGTCTCATTAACTCCTGATCGTATGTTAGTTTGTAACGAATTTGTTAGTTGTAACGATTGCGTTTTTTTAGCTAGTTACATTAATACTATCAAAGGCATAATAAGTGACGCAATTTTTGGGGAGCATTGGTAGCCTCTGGGGGGGGGGCAAGGGGGCAGCTGCCCCCAAGATTTTGTACCAAAATTAAAAAATAAGCTTAGCTAATAATAGCGGAGCACCATATTTAAGGACAAATGGTAACCCATCGACCTCATTTCTGATGGTTCGTCCGCGCGTCCGTCCCGTGCCGCCGTGCCGTGCCGTGCCGTGCGGGAACCCTCTGGTACCACTAGCGAAGTACGCAGCGATTCATACAAGGAGCCTTCTTAGCTGAGTGGTTAGAGCACTGGTCTTGTTCAATCCCCAGATGGGGCTGAAGTATTTTATTTCCCCTGGTCTTATTCTTTAATTTATACAATGTTTGAGCAATTACGTTCTAACATTCTTATCGTACTTAATTAAATTTAATTAAATTTAATTGTTTTTATAACGTATTCTGCTCACGCTACCCTGGCCGTGAGTCACGTCAGTGCATAGCACAACCATGGAGGAGATAAACATAAATGAGCAACTCCTTTTACTCGTTCAAAATCACCCAGAATTGTACGATGTAGGCAGCAAGACCTGCAAAGATGTGCAAAGACGCGAGAATGTTTGGAGCGAGATAGGAGAGATTATGGGGGAAATTGCTAAGAAATAAGTGGAAAATACTGATTTTAGTTGTTGCTTTACAGTTTACAGGTACAGTACACAATCTTAAATAAAATAATCCGAACCCCTTGCTTTTGGGACCAGACATGTTTGGCAATTGCGTTCACGTTCGGGAGCTCCGCTTTTAGGCAGAGTCTAAATCTTATATTCGTAAATAACCCTAACGTGATTTTTTTGGTCACTTATCTCAGTCAGAAAGCCTTGTCTCAGACTCATCCCTACCAAACTATGGACGTCGATCAAGAGCTGCACCCGTCGCTCATCATTACACAGTTGAGTCATGAAATTTTGCACACACCCCCTCTAGGAATTTGCTCAGCCTACGGCACTGGATGTAATTACTCCAGGTGTGAATAATAATAGGCTAGCGTTCTAATATTATTCACTCCTGATTATACTATATCTACATATCTCCGTGTATAGTGTCACGCCAACGTGATTTCCGGTGCTGATTTAGCTGGTGTGTTGTCATCGTATACGCAGACTGTCACTCCGGTTTGACACACGTAAAAGAGCATTAGTGTTTTGGCTTCCTAAACGACAGCATCACTTTCAATTACCTGCCGCCGCTGCCGCCGCTGCTACTGCTGCCAGAAACAGCAGCCACAGACCGGGAGCAACCGTGGCGGCGGCGACGTTGCCGATATCGTCAACGGGTTTATTGTTGCAGCCGTCGCCGTCGCACGTGGTGAAGCACAGCTGTAGCGTGATGTTCGGCTCGCCGGGGAAATCGATCGTCTCGCTGCTGCACACGTACTCGATGCTTACGCTAAGGCAGTCCCGTATCACGAGCCTTCCTGCAATTATATATATGTATGTATGTATGTATGTATGTATGTATGTATGTATGTATGTATGTATGTATGTATGTATGTATGTATGTATGTATGTATGTATGTATGTATGTATGTATGTATGTATGTATGTACTGTTGCCTGTAGTTGTGTGGCGTTTGGTGGCTTGTGTGTGTGTGCTCGTGTGGTGTGGTGTGGCGTGTGCGTGTGCGTGTGCGCTAGTGCTGTGGCGAAGTCGTTGTGCGTGTGCGTGTGCGTGCCGTTGCGCGTGTGCTGCGGTGGTAGTGTGTGGTGTGCGCGCGTGCTGCGGTGGTGTGTGTGTGGGGTGTGTGTGTGTGTGTGGTGTGTTGTGTGTGCGCGCGTGTGCGTGTGTGTGTGTGTGTATGTGTGTGTGTATGTATTGTATGTATGTATGTATGTATGTATGTAGTATGTATGTATGTATGTATGTATGTATGTATGTATGTATGTATGTACGTACGTACGTAGTACGTATGTATGTAATGTATGTATGTATGTATTGTTATGTATGTATGTATGTATGTATGTATGTATGTATGTATATCAAGAGTGCATAATAGAGATGAATATATATACATATATATATGATGAATATATATATATATAATATATAATAATATGTAATATGTATATGTGTATATGTGTATATGTATATGTATATATGTAATATGTAATAATGTATAATATATAATATATATGATATATATATATATGATGAATATATATATATATTATATATATATATATATATAAACAAAGTCAAATGATAGAATAAGGGTGTTTTTAACAAGCTTTCGAGATTACATCTCTTCGTCAGGTCAGCAGACATTAGAATAGAATCCTGACCTGATAAAGACATGAAATCTCGAAAGTTTGATATATATATATATATATATATATATATATACCTATGATATATATGAATATGTAGCAATGGGCTTGTTCGTCAGCGCCATATATTGTTTATAGAGAGGGTGTTAGTGTGATGGCAGTGGTGTGACAGCAGAGCACGTACATCAATATTGATATCTAATATATAATATAGTATAATACTGTAAAATCCTTTTTTTCGTAGATTTCGTGGGTCCATCAATCCACAAATTTATGTACCCAACGAAATATTATGTGCATATGTCAATTGCTGGTTCCGGAGTGGAGGTCACGAATTTAAAAACCCACGAACATGTATTTTTCATTAAAACACCGAAAATAGGAACCCACGAAAATAAGTGACTTTACATTAACGTATATATACGTGCTCTGGTTCTAGTGACAGCCATGGATGGATAGATTTATTTATGGCCTATCTGTAGTGCCATAGATAGCCTATCTATAGCTTTGGTGGTGGTTTCGCCGAGCTAAGCTGCCTTTACTATGAATTTGTTAAGTTTACATCGTGCACGTCTTTTTCTATTTGTTACTCTTGATGAAGTGCTCGCAAGAGCTGAACACTTCCTGAAGCAACGAACCTATCCGTCGAGGAGAGATAACCACCACGCCCCTTCCTTGCTTTTTTTTGCTAGGACGGCAGGGCCGTAGCTAGCCGGGGGCACAGGGGCAGTCCCCCCCCCCCAGAAAAAGTAGATACAATCAAGAGCGTATAAAGAAGGAGAGCGTACAACGGTGAAATGGTGAAACCATGTTGCAGTATTAGTCGAATTAAAAAACTTTTCCCGTTTTATTTTGACGATTCTTTGCGGTATTATTGATCAGCTGTCCTACCTTGTTAATATAAAACAAACCGCTTGTCCCTACGATGCTCCTACGCTGATATAATGAGTGAAAATCTGGTATTTTCGCCGAAAAACGACTCGAGATCAGTGTTTACTGCGACTGTCTCTCGCTTTGTGGCCAGTGTATTGCTTCCGGTCGCCGCTGTGTAGCGCTATGGTAACGCTGACTCACGTCAGTACTACAGAGATTACTATACATCCAGCGTGAGGTGGGCACAGGTGGGGGTCATCACTATGACAATCAATAACAGACGTCATTTATTCCATTTGTCAATCACTGACGGAAACACGCGAGGTTTCCCGAAGTTATCTCAAAGCGAGAGACAGTCGCAGTCAGCAGGTATCTCGAGTCGGTTTTCGGCGAAAATACCAGAAACCGCTCATTATCTCAGCGTAGGGGCATCGTAGGGACATGCGGTTTGTTTTATATTAACAAGGTAGGACAGCTGATCAATAATACTGCAATCGTCAAAATAAAACGGAGAAAGTTTATTAATTCGACTAATACTGCAACATGGTTTCAGCATTTCACCGTTGTACGCTCTCCTTCTTTATACGCTCTTGATACAATACATGGTCAAAGGCGATAACCTTCCCAGAAGACACCGTGTACATGGCTTTGCCCCCTCCCAGGAAAATGGATTAGCTACACTTCTGGACGGCCTACAGTTCACCCTGCTGATGCCGAGCTTTCTAGCGTTTTAACATTTTATGGTTTATACGTATTTTTAGATAACAAAATTTCCAACTCTGCGGCATTTCCTTGCCGAGCATTGTCTTTTACAAGCGTCCTATCACAACAAAGCTTGGCTAGAATTTTAAAATCATGCATGTATGTCTGCGAAAAATAACCGTTTATCATTCATCGGTTAATGTGTTAAATCTAACGTGAAACTACCGCCGTATCGCTTTTAACCAGATTCTCTTGCTTTTGTAAATCATTTATAGTTGACTAATTTCTGTGTGTAAATATCCCAAAAGAATCGCAATATAATAAACATATGTATGTATGCTGTATATAACGTATAAATGAATGCACTGTCCACGAGCTCAACATCATCATCATCATCATCATCATCATCATCATCATCATCATCATTTCTCTCTCGCACGCGCACGCGCGCTCTCTCTTGCTCTCTCTCTCTCTCTCTCTCTCTCTCTCTCTCTCTCTCTCTCTCTCTCTCTCTCTCTCTCTCTCTTGCTCTCTCCTCTTGCTCTCCTCTCTCTCTCTCTCTTGCTCTCTCTCTCTCTCTCTCTCTCTTTTTCTCTCTCTCTCCTCTCTCTCTTTCTCGCTCTCTCTGCCCTATCTCTCTCTCTCTCGCATTAGCATTCATAACACAGCCGAATCAACCAGTTCACCGTCACCGTCACCGTCACCGGCACCGTCACCGTCACCGTCGCCGTCACCGTCACCGTCGCCGTCACCGTCACCGTCACCGTCACTGGCACAGTCAACCGTGCACGCCATGCTCGAGCAATACGCGATATTTTTCTATTGGAGACGCAGTCTGACTATAGCGGTGCCGATAAACGCAAGCTGATACCTGTGATGATGAGATATGAGGAGATGGATGTATCCTTACGTGTTACTGTATAAGGAATTAGCTAATCTGTCCAGTAATGATCTACGACCCATAACTCGGTGCCTGCGGCTACTCTCTCTTTCTCTCTCTCTCTCTCTCTCTCTCTTTCTACATATATATCAGGGGTTACTAATGACAAATTTGTCATTATTAACCTCTGATATATATATATATATATATATATACTCAGAGCGCGTATAGCAATAGAGCACGATCGTTCAATCACCATGTTCAGCCATTAAATAACTGGATGGTGCGGACTCCAACCGGGTCCGTCTGTCGCAGTCTTCAGTCTGCATCGCCTGATCGCGTTCACACGTACCGCAAAACCCAGTTTCGAGCGCGTATACGACGTACGAAGCGTGGCCTTGAGTTATACAGCGTTCGCACATATAATTTGGACTAAATGTATCGCCGTATAAGCTAGACAAGTCGTTAGCGCAGTGAGCTTATATTTCATAATCTGCGCTTGTTGTTTTATTTCTGGGGTAGGTTTCACGAAGCGTAGACCTAATTAACTTTAATCATGATTAAGTTAATTACAATATTTAATTCTACTCTACTCTACTAGTGGAGCAAATCCTACTACTACTCATAATTAGTTGCTAGTACTTGTAGTAGTATGTAGGTAGTACTAGTATATTAAGTACGCTGCAGATTTTACAATTGGAAATTTTTACTTCAATTTTTTCCCAAGGAAATTTAAATGATCTAAGTTTAGCTGTACTAATTTAGTCATTATAATTGCAAATTAATTCCTTTTCATGTACCGAATTCGCAGATACTTTTGGCGTTGTCCGCCATTTTAAATACAGTGTAATTCATGTTTAAGTCGGCTAATTATGTGATTAGTAAAATATGTACTTAAATCGCTTCGTGAAACAGGGGCCGGTTTCACGAAGCGTGATTAACTTTAATTATGATTAAATCACTAATCATACTTAACATCCTGTAATTATGATTAGTTAATCATACTTAAAAATCTGTTTCACGAAGCGATTTAATTAAGTACATATTTAACTAATCACATAATTAGCCGACATTGAATTACACTGTATTTAAAATGGCGGACAACGCCAAAAGTATCTGCAAATTTGGTACATGAAAAGGAATTAATTTGCAATTATAATGACTAAATTAGTACAGCTAATCTTAGATAATTAAAATTTTCTTGGGAAAAAATTGAAGTAAAATTTCCAATTGTAAAATCTGCAGCGTAGGCCCTACTTAATATACTAGTACTACCCAAGGCCGTACACAGTAAATTTTCAGTGGGGGGCAAATTTTCAGTGGGGTGGCAGTAGATGAGAGAAGACTTAGACCAGAGCGAGCTACCCCTGGAAACGTTGTTATGACCCCGCTGGATGTTGCAAATTTAAATTTCTGGGGTGGGGGGCAAGTGCCCCCCCCTGCCCCTCCCCGTTATGTACGGCCATAGTACTACCTACATACTACTTCTAGTACTAGCAACTAATTAATTATGATTAGTGGATTTAATCATGCTCCTGAGTAGAATTAAATATTGTTATTAACTTAATCATGATTAAAGTTAATTACGCTTTGTGAAACAGTCACTTTAATTTAAGTACGGGAAGTTAATCATGATGAGTGATTTAATCATGAGTAAATACTTAAGTACGCTTCGTGAAACCGGCCCCTGATTTTTAAGTATGATTAATCATAATTACAAGAGGGTAATTATGATTAGTGATTTAATCATAATTAAAGTTAATCACGCTTTGTGAAACCGGCCCCGGCGTGTATAGCGTGCGCCTTTTGGACTATTGTTGTGGCCATTGTTATTGTTGTTGTTGTTGTTGTTGTGGCCATTGTGGCCATGGCTAAGTTGTTTTGTTGGCCATTGTATAGTCGGAGTTTTATGATGGATCAACGGAGGCTTAATTTAATATAATATACATTATATATAATAGCCTTATGCTTGCAGTTGTTGCAGCTGCAAGCCCAGTTGGTATTGATGAGCATTATTTCACACGATGAGGTTGGAAATGTAATTGGTCGCCTGTCATCAGTAAGGGCACGATAATCAGCGTAATTTCATACGGCAGTACAGTGTCCATAAGCATAGCTGTACAAGATTGAGGAGAATTCATGCACTGCCTACTCGTCTTCATACCTGTCTGCTCAGCATGGTTTGACAGATGTATACAATCAATCGGACATACAATCTGTCGAATCCTGTTTAGTTTGTCTCGGAAGTTGTCGCCCGTCCTGGCTTCAAACCCCATGTCTGCGAGTCGTTTTGATCTATATTTTCAAAAACAACTTTATTTCTTATCATGTCATGCAGTTGGCGCTGAATTTCCTCGCTGTCCCATATATCGATAGCGCATTTAACTTCGACATCGTGAAATGTAGCCCCACGGTCAGGCATTTTAAATACATAATAAATAAATAATTACGAAATGACAATTGCCAATGCTTCAAATACGCTCGATAACATATTAACGCAACGCGGGTAATAGGTACCGGAAGCAGATAAATGTCATGTCGTGTTTGTCCTTCCGCCTATGCAGTTGTTTACACGTTCGCTATACGCGTATATCTATACGAAGTACGTACGAAACGCACCTTTTTTGTCAGTATATATAGCTATACGCGTTTTGAACTGAGTATAGCTATACGTAGTCGTTCATAGTACGTACGAAACTGGATTTTAGCTACGTGTGAACGCGACATGATCTGTATATAATATTATTGTTTATTATTATTATATAATTATATATAATTATAATGACATTGTTATATAAGTTAACATGTAACATGTGATTGTTAATTGTTACATTGTTACATGTGGTATGCAGCTCAGTCTAGCAGCATGACCACTAGCATGCATGCATTAGACTGTTTTCTGTCGGCAAGGATAACACCGAAATGAAACACACATGAGTCTTTATACAAATTATGAGATGATTTCTATTAAAAATGTCGTTGTAATTCATTTTATTATATTAAGCACTCAGAATAGTGTATCAAAAATCTAATAATTACAGGCTGTCGTTAAATTACCTGTAATTAATCTGTCATATAGCCGGGCAGATTTTAATTGCAGGAAATTGTTCAGCTGTTCAACACTGTTATTTTTAGTTTAAGCTGTACGGGCTCTCAGAAAACCAGCCAGCGCTGCAAAGGCCGATGTTTGCTGATATATAGATATTTGCTGATCCACACGCGCGCACACACACACGCACGCACGCACGCACGCACGCACGCACGCACACACACATACACACACAAACACACACACACACACACACACACACATACACACACTAGCACTGACTATTTGAATAATTGAAGGCGCTTTTTTCCTACTATACGCCTACAATGAAGGGTTTACCACATGTTTAAGCAAGAATAAAACATAAGTGCTTATTACAGAATGAGTGCAAACCCTAGCAGAGACGCTCACGTAGTGTTTCATGAATAAATGAAAAGTGCAACATTCAATATATTCTAACCGTCATGAATAACCTTGTTGAGAAACGACATGGGAAGCGTTAGAGATTTTTCTTTTAACTTGTGCAAAAGTGAATAGGCCCTACTGTGTGTATATTTAAGAAATGTTTGGATTTACACGTGCACTAAAACCTATTTCTTAAATGTTGAAACACGCGCATAACAGATGTTTTTATTAAAATAAATTGTTTATATACAAATGCATAATATTTGACGATAGCATATGTATCCAAATTGTGTGCAATAGCTGTGTGTACTGTTTGCGTAATATATAATTGCGATATTAACTTGAAAAGTCCACAAAGTATTGCATTCATTGTTATTTCATAACTACGGGTTTGCCAATATTTTATAGATAATAGGAAAAATGGTGAGCCACGGTGAGTGTTCGTGCTCTGTTGATATATATAGGATATATATATAGGTTATATAATAGATGCTATCAGGAGTGAATAATAATAGATAGATCTATTATTATTCACTCCTGGTGCTATCATATGCTACATAATTATCACTTATCATCGCTACACACTAATCCACATACCGGTTAATATACAAGTGCTGCTACATACCGGTTGCAAGGTTTCCAACTGACGTCACGCAATGTTTGGCACTCGCATGGTTGCCATGACAGAGTGTCGCTGGGATGTCTCCTTTTTCACAATGTCTTCCTAGCTGACATTGCACGCAGCGTAGCGCCAACGCTGCGAAAGCAAATACGTGCAAAATTGAAAAAAATCTCTCTCTCTCTCTCTCCCTCGCTCTTTCTCGCTGTCTCTCTCTCTCTCTCTCTCTCTCTCTCTCTCTCGCGCGCGCGCTGTCTTTCTATCTATCTCTCTCCGCAGCGTAGCGCCAACGCTGCGAAAGCAAATACGTGCAAAATTGAAAAAAATCTCTCTCTCTCTCTCTCCCTCGCTCTTTCTCGCTGTCTCTCTCTCTCTCTCTCTCTCTCTCTCTCTCTCTCTCGCGCGCGCGCTGTCTTTCTATCTATCTCTCTCT